GACAAAAATATTTGGCAGGAAAACGGTTAAATTAATGAAAAAGGGCTCAATACAATTTTCAAAAAAATATGTAAAGCAATTTAAAAAAATATTTAGAAAATCAATCTTCTTCCTACAGGGGTTTTTACTAATCAGGTATCTTCAGGCAAGTTGGTTTTCTAAAGTGAATATGGAGTTTGTTCTAGTACGGCGATGTCCTTCTCGGCCAGGATTTGCCGGATGCTCAGTGCGTAGTGAGCAGGTGCATTGTCGTGGTGAAGCAGCCACGATTTTTCCGGACAAAACTCTGGTCTCTTCTCGCGCACTGAGCGAAGCGAACTCTAAGATTACAGTGATATACTCACTAGTTATCATATTAGATGATAACACTATCCGCTTATCCCTTTTTTGGCCATAGCTCACAAAGTACATCCAGTCCCGTTACTTTTCAAACAAACCTCGTAATCTGTCGTGATCACTTTGTTGAATGCGGCCAGTAGGTCCAAACCCTCTGTGGCTTATGTTTGATCGCCACGATCGAATGACCTTTGAATAGTTCCGTCTGTTTGATCTCACTCGGAAGTGGTATGTTTTTATGGTGTCTTCTAACAGTGCCATGAACTGTGTTCGTCTCCGCGGGCCATGGGAAAGCCATCTCCTTGACCAATCATCCATGGTGAGATTCGGTGGAGAGTTATGGGTAGAAATCAAACTTTCTAACCACCCGAACTGCGCCCTAATGTTATGGTGTCTTCCCTCTAATGAAGCAATAGTGGACTCTTCCACTTACTATAAAGTTAGTAGGAAAAGTAGGCCTTGGGGTAGCAGTGATATAGCCTGTTCGTTACAGTCGAACTCACTGCCTTGAGCAGAGAGAAACCGGGACAAGTCTGTATAGAAGGTCAAAGTTTCGTCCGGGGAGGTAGACAGGCCCTGAATCCGTTTATGCGGTTTCTACGGGACTAATTTTGTCCGAGACTATGGGCTCGGAGAACCCACAGTAAACTCGGCCTTGTGCCACATACATCCCTCGTGGGGTGGGGGCTGTTAAATATAACAGTTGAATAGATTGTTCTTTACTGTCGAACTCTCTGCTTTGAGCATAGAGTAACCCAGACGAGGCTTTGCCGAAGGGCAATGTTTCGTCCGGGGAGGTAGACAGACCCTTTACCCGTTTATGCAGGTTCTATGGAAACATTTTTGGCCGAGACTACGGGCTCGCAGAAACCACGGTAAACTCGGCCTTGTGCCACATACATTCTTCGTAGTGGGGGGGGGCTGTTAAACATTAATAGTGCTATAGCGTGTTTGTTACTGTTGAACTCTCTGCCTTGAGCACAGAGTAACCCGGACGAAGCTTTGCCGAAGGGTAAAGTTTCGTCCGGGGAGGTAGACAGGCCCGGACCCGTTTTTGCGGGTTCTACGGGGATATTTTTGGCCGAGCCTACGGACTCGGATGGCCCACGTTAAACTCGGTCTTGTGCCATATATAACCCTCGTGGCGGGAATGGAGACTGTTATATATAACAGTGATATAGACTGAACACTGGTCAACCGACACACATTCCCAAGTCATGTAACACACTTCTGTTATATTTACTGTTCAATACACGATTTATCTGCAACCTCTTGTTTTTTTTATTTCTTAACCATTTACTTGGTCGCAACACGGAACGAACTTAATAAATTCGGAGTGTGTTACTCCTGTTCGTTTCATACTTTATTCAGTATAGATATAGACAGGATTGCCTATCGCCCGGTTTAAACTCCTCCCCAGTCTTTTGAATAGGAGCATAGCTTCATCCCTTTTTGCCTGTTTAGAATTGGGTTTCCGGCCCGTTCTAACGTCTCCGCCTGAAATCTGAAAACTTATTCGCTAATTAATTCTTGATCTCTTCAACCGTCTATCTTTCCTGTTCTTTTGCCCTTTCTTACGCTAACGCAACTCCATACAGTAACCCTCTACCTTGAATGGCGCTTGGGCCATTTATTAGGAAACATTAGTAAATAAAAAAAATGACACCAAATGAAAGGTTTTTCAACGGAGATATAGATGGCTGAACTTGGATGTTAGACGATTGTCTTGGGCTGACCTATATGTTCTCTGTTCTTTCTTTTTTGTACCTTCCCCCCCATTGGTTCTTGGTCTGTTTATTTACATATCAAAGTGCCCAAGGTTTTCCGGACGAGTAAAATTTCTTATATTTATAATATTATTATATATATATATATATATATATATATATATAATATATTATTATTATATATATATATATATATATATATATATATGTGTGTGTGTGTGTGTGTTAATTTATTTTCGTCTAACGATAATAAATTAGTATACTAGGTACCATGACAGTAATCGCGATAATTAAGTTTTATAATGAATTTTAAAAACTGAAAAATCTTTCTTGAAGTTATTTTAGTTTTGGTTTCAAGCTTATAGATTAAGTTTAATATTTCCAATAAGCTAAATATTTTACTAGATTTCAAAAACTCGTTGAAAATGACTGAAAGT